TGTGTTATGTATGTTATATATGTTGTTTTAATAAATATCAAATAATTTAAAAAAAACTCATGGCAGTCAAAATGGAAACATGGTGCTAAACTGTGCAATGTGAAAGGGCCCTCAGAGAAGATGAGTGAACAGGCAGCAGCAGCAAGGAGGAAGAGCAGGCAGAGTTTGAAAAGTTACTTACTTTTCATAAGTAATTTGCTGTGTCACTTTCCCCCCAAAAAAACATCAAAATAAAAGTCAATTCTGCAAAAGTAATCGCTTTAGTTAGTATCTCATTATTATTATTATTATTATTGCTAATTTTAGTTCCTTCTTTAAACATCTGTAGAAGAAAACACCTTAAAAATTAGGAGAAGAGGAAATGTCAAAATGTCTCAAGAAAACATGTTAAATTGCAAAGAAGTAATGCTAAAAAGGAACAAGTCAATATATTATTGGGATATCTAAATCCATTTTCCTGATCCAACTAGAGTCACCACATTGAATCAATTGTTGAATGACAAAACATATTTAAATCACAGTGATTCAATGGGTCAGCTCTTGTTAGGAGTAGCTATTAGAACTGCTGTTGTTTTGTGTCTTCAAGTTGTTTCCAATTTATGGCAAACCTAAGGGGTTTTCTTGGCAAAATTTGTTCAGAAGGGGGTTATCTTTACCTTCCTCTCACACTGAGAGAGTGTGATTTAATCAGAGTCACCCAGTGGGTTTCTACGGCAGAGCAGGGATTTGAATCCTGGTCTCTGAAGTTTTGGGAGATTATCACATGAAGGGAGAAGGACGGGAGCATAGTGGATTGTTCCTGTCCCATTAACATGATTGAGGCAAAGATGTCACACACCACATGCTTCTCCCATTCTACTCCCATCCATGAAGTGTAATGGCCCCGCCATTTAGTATTAATGGGAACTCCCATTAATACCAAATGACAGGGCCATTACATTTCACTGACAGCAGAACAAGAGACAGATGCGGTGTGTGATAATCTTTGCTCCAATCACGCGAATGGGACAGCAGCAATCCGCTTTATTCCCGTCCTTCTCCCTCTGTGTGATAATCTCCATAGTCCAACACTCAAACCACTACACCACCACTAGTTATTAGTGCACTGTTATGCCATTGCTATCCCTAAAAAGAACATATTACAGGTAATGTTTCAAAGCTCTAGGAGGGACAAAGAAGCACAAACATGACCCCTAACAAGATGCTGACTGGTTCAGGTCAAAATTTTATTACTCAGCAGGAAGCAGAGGGAAATACATTGAAAACCTCCTTACCACAAACCCCACATGGATATTGCAACCTAGGTCTGCAGTACTGAGTAACTTACCCATATCATCTGTGTCTACTAACATCTAGAGGATCAGACAAGCTGACTGGTTAGGAGGCCTCACTGCACTCAGTAGATGTGCTTACTTGCATTCTTTAAAAAGTCATTTGCAGTTACACCATCAAAACTGCTCTCTTTGCATAACAGAAGACCTTCCTATCGCAACCTGCCTCTTTGTTAAGTTCCCTTTTTAACAAGCATGGAAAACACATGGGTGTTTCACTGTCGGTGCTATTATTTTAGCATTAAAATCCATATACTTATGAACCTACTTTAGGCCTCATCCATACTCTAATCATATTTGTAGAAATTGTAGTCTCCATATTTGAATTAGACTCTTTTATCTGCCGCACTCCTCGGCCCTGATCCACTCTTTTTCCAGCCCTGGAAGGAGCGTTAAAATAGAGCTCCTTCCTCAAGGTGCGGAAAGGGCGCCGCAAGAGGGATCGCACACCTCTTCGGCGTGTCTGGACGCTGAGCCATAAGAACGTAAACAGAACGCCTGTCATCTGCAACGACGGGTGCTCTGATTACATCCTCAGGAAGGGGTTGGAGTGCCCAGCATGACGCAAAGCACCGTCTGCAAAGGGGGTATATAGGGCATGTGAAATCTTCATTCCACTAAACTCACTGACCACACCATTAATTCTGCTCTAGTCCACTATACAATTTCTCACATTTTTGATATTTCCTTTGTAATATTTTTGATATGAAGGTCCAACAACAACAACAACATACAGGGCAGATGTACTGAAGCCTTCCCCCCAGACAACCCAATTCTTGTCCAGCTGCTTAACCCCTCTGAATGCCTGCCCATACACAGACTGTTTTTCTTCCTCAATTGTCCTCTTCCCACAAAGTTAAAGACCATATTTTGGGGCATGATGCCTAGAACAGTTTTCCTTGAAGCCAACTACAACTTTTTATATTATAGAGTACTGGAACCGTTAGTTATTTTAGCACAGTCTTGTGGTTAAGGATGGATTGGCAATTTTGCTTATGTGCTTAGTTCGACATTTCCTGCTCCTTTGTATTTTGGGTTGCTGTATGAAAGAAAGACAGTCTTTATGTTATCTAGAAAATGTCCTATGATTAAATACTAAGGTGTGATTGAAAGGTCACATCCTTGGCTGGCAGAAATGAGGATTTGCTCAGATGGAGTCACGCGGCTTTCCATTAGCAAAGGATCTGTCTTCTTGCAATTAAGCTAATAGAATCAGAGAATTGCTAATAGAGTCTTAGGTCATCTTGTCCATCCCAAGGGGCCAGGGCTTTGTGCTTCTATCAGCTTTAATTTCAAGCAATTTCAGACATTCCAGTTCTGATCTACTCCTACTTCTACCCTTTCATTTTGAGTGAATAATTTATGTTTCACTATATTTAAAGAATGCAAAGGCTAAAGGCCCCCATTCAGTGAATTTGCATACAGAGCAAACTACATATCAGCAGCTTGGGCCCTAGTACCCCATCCATTGGATCCCTTCCTTCACATCTTGCCCTGCCAAAGACCTGATGATAGCACCTTCCCTGAGGGAAAGCAAAGTGGTTATTATGAACCAGATGGCAGCCTCAACATGGCTGTGTTGCAGCCACATGGTTATTTAACATTGTAGGGTACCAACTGACTATCTTCAAACTTATATTTTGGTCCCTGTGCAGGTTATAATCATTTTAGCAGAGACAACTACTTGCTGTGATTTGAAGCACTCCTATCCCTGTCTCTAATCTGTGTCTGGTGCCTTCTGGCAAAAAGCCACAGAGGCCAAGCTAAACAAAACCAAAATCATTTCCTTGCATGCCATAGGGAGAACAGTGGATGATGCTTACATTCCCTCAGAGCTATGAAATTGTTATGCTAACAGTTAACATCCTCTCTGTACCCCCATTAATTGGAGACCAGGGAAGGAAGAAGATAAGCAATTCCAGTTTTGACAGCTGATGCTATGGACATCACTAGGCTTGCCAAATATTCAGGGGGGAAATCAGCCCGATCTGTTCTTGTCTCTTTAACAGCAACTTCTAACAGTGGCTCAAGTGGTTGAGATGCTGACTCTGTTGACTGCAAAATCAGCAGCTTGGCAGTTCGAGGCCCAGGTGCTACATGATGGGGTGATCTCCCATCACTAGTCCCAGCTTTTTAACAACCTAGCAGTTACAAAGCATGCAAATGCAAGTAGATAAATAGGTGCTACTTTGGTGGGAAGGTAAAGAGCGTTCTGTGCAATCATGCTGGCCACATGATCACAGAGTAGTCTCTGACAATGATGGCTCTTAGGAAATGAGCACCACCCCCTATGGTCAGACATGACTTGACAACCTTGTCAACAGGGAATACCTTTACTTAACCCTTTTTAAACAACATCCATAACAGCAATATAAACAGGATTGGCTCACCCTACCTGTAAGCAGAATGGCATAAAGTCTGGGAAAGTTATTTCTGGATTAAATTTCCCAGGATCCTCTAGCCAAAATGGGTGCCTGCATGCTAGACAGATTCTGAGAAATGTGGTCCAGAAATTAACATTTCCACATTCTATGAGTGAGATAATTACCTCTGTAGAAGAGTAATGCTCCCTCATATGCCTTCTGAAGCCCTTCCCCAGACACTTCCCTTTGTTGGAAGATAAGAGCTGTGTATCATCATCATCATCGTCATCATCGTGCCTTTTTCCCAATTTAGGGCCTTTGCAGACTGCCAGAAATAGTGCAAACTGAGTCCACTTCAAGGGTTAGGGTTAGGGAATCATGGGAACTGTACTTTATTGTGGTACCAGAGCTCTCTGATAGAGAAGGCTCAGTGTCTCAGGAAAAAAAACCAATTCCCATGATTACCTAGCACTAACCCTAACCCTTAAAGTGGACTCAATTTGCACTATTTCTGGCAGTTTGCGAAAGCCCTTAGTACTCAAGGCAGCTTAGAACAGTTAAAACAAACATAGGTTAAAATTCATAATTTACAAAGCTTTAAAATACAATTAAACTACAGTATAAAAAATTTAAACCTGGTAAAATATAAACCATTAAAGGGATAACAGCAAATAGAAAATCTACCACATTATGCAAGGCTCTTTCCTCTTGAGTAGTCATCCAAGGCTTGCTGAATTATTGTTGTTGTTGTTGTTATTTACAAAAAAAGACTTTACCTACCTGCAAATAGATAGCAAGGAAGGTCCCACTCTAATTTCTCTAGGGATGTTATCACACGTGGCCCAGAAACTGAAAATAAAGTGG